TCAATCCCTCGTACAAAAAAAAAAAAAAAGAGAGAGAGAGAGAGAAAGAAAGTAAGTTAGAGGCCAGCTTCACAATTTAGTGAAACCCTGCCTCAAAATAAAATAAAAAACAGGGCTGGGGATGTAGTTCAGAGGTAGAGTGCTCTTGAGTTAAATCCCTTGTACCACAAAAGAAAATTAACAAACAAATAAATAATAACAAAAGCTGCTAAAGAGGCAAAGAACATCTAGCCAACCCCTCTATGGTCACCGGTAGGTGAATGGTAGAGTTCGATCAAGTTGGGGATAAATGAGAAAAGGCACGAGGCACTCAGTTTAGGGCCTGGCCCATAGTAGGTGCAAATAATAACGAAGACAGGACCTGGGGCAGGCTCTGGAGGTGAGTGGTGCCCCAGAAGGGAAGAGGCAGCTGCCTTCCTCATACCCGGGGGCTCCATACTGGTCCTCTTCTGGACAGGATGAGGTTCCTCCCGCCCACTGAGCCCCAGGGGCTCAGATACCTTCCCTGAGCCCACTGCTCATCTCGGCCCCAGAGAAGCCCATGGCCTAGCATTTCTAACTTTGGCCTTCACCAGGCCCTATGATCTGGGGTCTCTGTCGTTCGCCTAGGTGGCCAGAGCCAACAGCCAGAGACTGCCTCAATAACCAGGGCAGTCTTAGGAGAGCCACTGAAGCTCAGAGAGGGCAAGCTGTGCACTTGAAAATATTGCAGGTCATCTAAGGCCAGGGTGGGTGCAGAGGTGGCCGTGTAGGGTGCTGGCAGGCCAGCATAGGCCTGGGAAAGTGGCAGGGGCATTGTGTTGTTCTGGCTGTGTAACAGGGGTGGTATGCAGAGGGCAGGGTGTGTAAGGAGGGGTTGGTCTCCAGTCAGGGTATGTGCAAATAGGGGTGTGTGTATGGGGGAAATGTTGGGGAGGGAAATAGGCAGTGTGTGTGTGAGAGCCAGTGCACACTCAGGAAGGGTGCCCAGGGCTCCTGCAGGAATTCGAGACATGCAGGGAACAGAGTTTGTGCCAAGGCCGAGGGCAGGAAATGAGCAGCGTTTCCTGGTGCCCGGCCCCAGGAAATGCTGGGAGAGGACACACAGAAGGACAGGTTCCCAAACACCTTCCCACCTTGGCCCCTTAGTCAGCAGGCAGCCCTGTCCCCCTCATTCCAGCTGGCAGCCACACCCAGGCTGGAGGCAGGGAGCACCAGTGTCCACAGCATTCTTGGAAGAATAAACAAAGGCAGGAAGGGTGGGTGGTGCGCCCCCTGAGCATGCCAGCTACATGGAGGTAGCAGCACCTTCCCGGTGGGGCCAGAAGAGGCATGAAGCCTGTTGGTGGCAGAGGTGAGGCTGGGGGCAGGGAAAAGGTGAGGGGGCCACTGGACATGAGAAAGCCAGCCCATGCTTAGGATGCCCCTGCTTAGCCTGGAGGGCTACCCAGCCCTTTCCACCTCCAAGCCAGCACCTACCAGGCTTGGGGGTCACTGTGGAGACCCCCACTTGCCAACCCCACCAATGACAGTCCCACTCACCCTGCAGGAGACATCCTAGATGGGCCATCGAGAGAGCCCAGGGGTGGGTGCAGACATGGAGAGGACGGAACAGGATTGTGCCTACTCAGTCCTCTGCCCGCTCGGAGGATTAGGGGTCAGGGCGGAGCATCAGGGCACAGGCGCAGACAGGGCTCTGGGGAGCTGGGACTGCTGGATAAAACTCAGGGCAGCAGTTAAATGTGAATTTCAGGAAAACGACAAATGCTTTTTTAGTATAAGCATGTCCCATAGGCTGGGGTGTAGCTCAGTGGTAGAGCACTTGCCTAGCATGTGTGAGGCCCTGGTTGCACCCCCAGCACCACAAAGGAAAACAAACAAAAACAAAAAACCTAGGAGGACCTCTGGAGGTTGGCCGGCCACTTTGGAGACAGCAGCAGCAGGCCCTCGCCAGGTGGAAGCTTCTCTTTCAATTGTCTTAGGAGCCTGGACCGGGGTTCAAATCTCTCAGCTACACCCAGCTTTGAACCTGGGTGAGTTATAGATCCTCTCTGAGCCTCAGCTTCCTTATTTGTAAAAGGAGACTCCGGGTACCGCCTACCTCATATGATTGTGAGCAAAGGTGATTAATACTCCAGGAGCACCTGGTGTTAATTAATATTTATTCATTTGATAACAGAGAGCATCATGGCACCCAGGCTGTGGCACAGGCAGAAGCTCTTAACTGCGCAGTCTTGGGTGGGGGCTTCACTCCTTCCCATTTCAAGTTTCTCACTTGTCACCAAGAAGGGCACTTTCCCACAGGGATGTCAGAGGACTAAGTGGGATCACCAGCAAGGGGTTCCCTAGGCTGTCTTCCCACCTCTGCATATTCCCGGCCAAGCCAGGGCTCAGCCCTGGGCTGGGGATGCTCCCTTTGGGGAGGAGGGGAGTCCTCCCCGGTTAGCTTCATTCTCCCTTGTGTGGTCCGAAGAAATATTCTTTCCCTTGGGTCCCTCTGAGCCACTCCCTGCCCTAGTTCCCTGACCTGATCTGAAATAAGATCAGTTCTCTTAGCCTAAGGGGTGTGGTGAAGGCGGAGGAAGAGCAGGGGGTAGGCTCTTCTTGGGAGGGGCAGAGGCTCTGGTGGTAGTGGAAGCTACTTGTGTGGTAGGCCTAGGCCTTGTCCCCCATGGCCTGAAGCACTAAGCCCCAGGACACCTGGGTCTTGTCTCCACCCTGTCCTTGGGCTCAGTGGGGTTTGATAGGGGCTGTCCCTACAGACCTACATTCCTCTCAGGGATCACTCAGCAGTCACTCAGCAGGATGAACCAGTGTGAGGAGGGAGGGTGGCCAAGATGACATTCCAATTCTCAACATAGTTCCTGACAGTGTCACCCTTGTGAGGTGCCCAGAGCGCCTGTGCAGCCTTACTCAGATGTTGGGTGCTGAGTTAGGCTAATAATTATGCATCCACTAGCATCCAAGCTCCCTAGGGCAAGTCTCTGTCAACCACTGCTGCAGCCATGGCCAGCACCTGGCCTACTGATGGACAGAGGCAGCCAGGTGTGCAGTGGCCTCAACTATATTTTCCCTTGGCATCCATACCCCCATCAGGGGCTGACTCCACTTCTTTGGCTCCTTGATAGCCCTTGGAGGGTACACTGGCACATGCCTGTAATCCCAGTGGCTCAGGAGGTTGAGGCAGGAGGATCACAAGTTCAAAGCCAGCCTCAGCAATTTAGCATGGTCCTGAGCAACTTGGTGAGACCCTGTCTCTAAATAAGATATCAAAAGAGCTGGAGATGTGTTTCAGTGGTTAAGCACCCCTGGGTTCAATCCCTGGTACCAAAACCAACCAACCAAACAAATAAAAACCTTGGCTGTCTTGGCAGTGGATCCCCTTACCATGGCCATGCCTTATCCCCAAATCACACTGCTTTTTAGCCCAGAGAATGGTACCACCTAACCAGAGACGCCTTCCAGACGGCGCATCACAGAGCCCCCTTGTCTACCTAATAGGGGCTTCTTGAACCCACACCCCTGCACTAGCCCAAGTCTGAGCTCCGACACCTTTCCCCAGCTACTCCTCCTGTGGGTCCCCTTGTTCCACCCTGGCTTTCTCCATCCACTGCCATATAACTCCTGCCTGAGAACTTTCTGGGGTTCCTACTGCCTTCCAAATAGGGTCTGTAACTCCACAGGGAGAAGCTGTGAATAGTTTCTCCCCCCCCCACCTGCTTCTCCCTTTTCCATTCCAATCACCCTCCAGCTTTGGGGTGTAGCAGGGCCCTCACTGGCTCCCTAACATTATATTTACCCCACTCCTTTCTGGGTCTCATTCTTACTTCCACTGTCTGACCTGTTTGCTGATATGCTCAGCTCTCTAGGGGCAGAGCACACAATAAATGCTGGACACATGCATTATTGATGGGAGTGCGTAGGGCAGGTCTTGGCAAATAAAGCAGTGTTCAGATCATAGTCTGTGCCCAATAAATTCAGGTGGAATGAGTGAGAGAAGGGCGCAGTGTTGGAGGGAAGGCAAGGCTGGTAACTGGGACATCTGAATTCTGCCTGAAGATTGGCCCCAGTGTTTCTGGGCTGCCCTGTTTTTCTGCCCTGTCTTTCCCTAGTTCTATGCCTGATCCCTCTGTCACTAACTGCTCTACCAGTGGCAGTTCTCTAGTAAAGTACTTTACTTTTATAAAATGCTCTCATCTATTCCCCCCTTATTATTCAAAGCCCTCACCTCAATAAGTCTCATTTCACCCATACTCTGAGGGTGCCAGTGGTGTGCTGGAGCACAGCCTGGGTGCCCCCCATTCACTATGTGATCCCAAATTCCTTGACCTCTCTGAGTCAGTTTCCTCACCTGTGAAATGAGGATTACACCTCCTACCTCTCGGGAAGGTGCAGAGGATTGTATGATTGCATGTGTAAGTCACCCTGTGTCTGGCTGTTTCTGAAACATGCTTAATATGCCAGTTACATTCCTTCCGAACTAGTGACTTCCCTTAAGTCTGAGCTGGGAACTTGGGCTTTCTGACAGTGTTCTCCCTGGTTACCACAGTCCTGCCAGTACTGTGTCGCTAGAGTTGGAGTTCTCTTGGGAGGCCACTCTCTTTCACAGAACCGGCCTCAGACACCTCATCCTTCCCAAGGGCCGCCAAGAACCCTGGATGTCCTGGGAACCCATAGAAGAGAGCCGGGTGAAGGACACTCCAAACCTTTATCTCCCCCTCCACTTCCCTGTCCCCGGGAACCCCATCCTCGTCCCATGCCCAAATTCACACTCTGGTGACACGCCCCGCGGGCGCCTCCTGGTGGCGAGGACATCCTGGATGCCTGGCTCGGCCAAGGAACCTCGGGTGACCCCAGGTGCGACCCCCAGTTGAGACGGTGCATACAATCTTCACCATTGCTTCCCAGCCCCATGCCGCCTGGGAATCCCAGAAGTGACTGCCCGGAACATCCCGCTCCTCCCGGAGCGAGCCCAGGGAACAGTCCGAGCCCCCCCTGAACTCCCGCTGCGTGTCACTGACCCATCTTTTTCAGCGCCCGCAGACCGGGACTCTTGGTGCCGCCGTCCGGAGACGCTGGCGAGGGCTGGAGCGCGAGGGGCGCGGAGACCTGGGCCGGCACCGGAGGCTCCTCAGGCAGGCGGCGGCACCTCCTCCAGTGGCCGCACAGCATGGCGTGGTGGGGCCGGGGCCGGGGCCGGGCCCGGGGTCTGCGTTCGGGGACACACCAGCGGAGACACCGCTCGTGCCCGGCCCCGGCTCTCTGCGCGGTCCCGAGCGAAGAAACTTAGCGGCGCCGGGAGAGTCGGGAGGAGGAGACCTTGGGAGGAGGGAAAGAGGGAGGGACGAGGTGGCGGGGCAGGGGCGGAGCGAGGACTGCGCGGGGGCGGCGCGAGCCGGCCGCGGGACCCCAGGCCCGGAGCTGTGCGTCCCCCCCGAGTCTCCGCGTTTGGTCGTGAGTCCCCTCCCCTTTCCCGTGCGATCTTCGGATCTCCGCCACATCTGTGGTCAGAGCCTACATGGCGGGGCGGGGGGGGGGGCACTAGAGGGGGGGGGGCTGTCCTCACGCACAAACACCCTCTCCTTTCCGGGGACCCTTGACTCCAAGAGGACGCAGGAACCCACCCCACCCTCTCTCATCGGTTCCACCAGGAGGACTCGGAAGGGAGCCAGGCAGGGGACCGGTCTCTGCGAGGACTGTCCTGGGTTAAGGGTCTTCGGGCCGGGAAACCCCGCAGAACTCGAGAACCGTGCGGAGCGGCCCGGCAGAGCAAACCCGAAGGGCGGGGACAGGGAGGCCTTGGCAGTGACATCACTGAATTAACCTCCGGGTGCTGGGCCAGTGCAGACCCTCAGTGGTGGAAGTCCCGAAACTGACTGATCTGGAGAGTGAGGAAGCACCAAGTCGAGAAATTGGGAACTGGTTCTGGGGTTGACACCCCAGAAGCTTGAACGGATTGACACCCCAGCCTGGGGCTCCGTGGTCCGCCTCACGCTGTGTGAGTGTCCTTGACACCAACTCGTGGGCAACGTCCACGTGCAGATTCTGGTGGCCGTGTCAGGTGTGTGCTTATAAGCGAGAAGGGTGGGATGTCCTGATAGCTGCGTTGTCCGCAGCAGGTGTCCTGGGTCAGGGCAGAGAGCCAGGCACAAACCGCCACTGGGCAGTTGCCCATCCCAGGGCCTCCCACACAGAAAACCGCTGTTTTCGGGACCTAGATCTGCCACCTATTGTTCCCCATTCTCAGATATTTTCAATCCAGAGATTTTGCATACTGACTTGAGTCCCCACCCCTGTGGAGCCTTGAATTTTCTTTCTGAATATCAAGTCTTCACCTTTGTACTTATTGATCTTTCGAGCCCTTCTTCCAGGAGTACCATCCTCGTAATTCTCTTGGGTCACTCTCAAATCTTCCAAAATTCAGCTCCGATGTCTCTCCTCCAGAACTCTTGGCTCAAAACAAGACTCTATTACTTCTCATTCCCCAGCGCCCAAGTATCCGAAAATCTGAGTTGGACGGCTCCTATATATAGTGGGGTGGGCAAAAACCAGCGGGAGTGAATTTCCACGAGGGGGCGCAAGGACCCCACGACTATTCACTATGTCCACCGGGGGGCGCCGCAGCTCGCCTCTGGCTGTCGGATTTGGGAGTCCAACACGTAGATTATCCCCGCCTGATTGGTACAAGCACCGCGACGCTATTTACATAATCTTGAAAGGGCCGTTCTGAGTGGTTAGTGTATAGAAACTGAATGTGAAACGGTGCCTCTCATTGGCTTGAATTTACCCTCTTGCAGTGCGTTCCCATCCCAGCCAGACTGGACCCAGAGGTCAGTCGGAAGCCACCAGTTAGCGGCGAGAGAGGACCCAGGTGTCCCGGCATTGGGAGTCGCGGGGTGAGTGCCGGGCCGGGCTATGGGGGCCCTTGGTCCGAGGCTGTTCGCCCCGCCCTGATCCTTCGTTCCCTCATTCGCCTGTCCAGGAGCTGGAGATGTGCACCTAGAAAAGCGCATCTGAGACATGTCAGCTCTGGAACCCTTGGCACCTGGTTCTCCACTCACTTATTGAGGTCCTCACCACATCGACCCCACCCCTACTGCCTTGAGGTAGGGAAAATGAGCCTGCTCAGCCTCAATTTCTGACTTCACAGCTCTCTCTCAGGCCTCTAAAGACTCTAGTTACGCTCCTCTGGGAATGGACCCGTGGCTCATGGATCTTGAGGCTTGCTCATACCGAGGGTCGTTCTTGCAGAGTCGCCCCAAAGTAGGGCCCCAGGGCTTGGAGAAGCATGGGCACCAAGAATGAAAGCCCAGAGCCAGACTACCAGAAACAGTTCCAGGCTGCGGTCAGCGTCATTCAGAACCTTCCTAAGAATGGTGAGGCTGCGGGGACCAGCGCTTTGGGGTTCAGGATGCTGGGGTAAGACTCTAAGAAATTAGTGAGGAAGATCCTTGCAGTGTTTTCACACAAGTTCCTACCTGGACTATCCTGATGGTCCCCGCTATCTCCTGTCCTTGTCCAGATGGATGGGACCCCTCCCCATCTCTGCCCTCTCCAGGGGTGTTCCCCCTTTCCCTCTATTCTCTTGAGCTGGAGGTGATGTTGTGTTCTCCACTTCCCAATCCTGTACCCAGGTTCTTACCGCCCGTCCTACGAAGAGATGCTGCGATTCTATAGCTACTACAAGCAAGCTACCATGGGGCCCTGCTTGGTCCCAAGGCCTGGATTCTGGGACCCCATTGGACGATATAAGTGGTGAGCTCCTCACCTGCCCATCAACTTCGGTTCAGCTGTTAACCAGCCTTTTCACAGCCCTCTACCCCTCCCCCCACACTCCAGGGATGCCTGGAACAGCCTGGGCAAGATGAGCAGGGAGGAGGCCATGTCCGCCTACATCACTGAGATGAAACTCGTAGCACAGAAGGTATGAAGGGCTGTGGCTCTCTGTCCCCAAGCTTCCAGATCGGTGGCTTGCCCCTCACCCTTCTGGTGCTGATCTCCATCATGTCTCCTACACATTGATACCAACTTGGGAATCACCACCTTCCTGTTGCCCCTGTGTCTTGCAGGGTGCAAGGTAGAAGTGTATGCCAGGGCATAGTAATGGGGAAGGGGCCCACTGAAAGAGGACAGAGGGAGCAGAGGTGGGAAGGGCCAACTCTTCTCCATGAGAGCCCCTCCCCCACAGGTGATCGACACCGTGCCACTGGGCGAGGTGGCAGAGGATATGTTTGGTTACTTCGAGCCCCTGTACCAGGTGATCCCAGACATGCCGAGGCCCCCAGAAAGCTTCCTGAGAAGGGTCACAGGTCAGATCCCGAGCATGGGAGCTCCAAAAGTTCAAGTGAACTGTCTTAGGTCTAGGCTAAGGGGGCTGGGAAGGGAGGTGCTGGACACCGAGGGCCCCAGTTGATGTCCCTGTAAGGACCCCAGCCAGTGCTCTTGATGGACTGGGTGTTCAGCAGTGTTCCTAGCTAATGGGGCTGAGGGACTTGATGTCACTTAAGTGGTACTAGCCTTTCCCCAGCCCCATCTCTGGATATTGTGTCCTAACAGGCTGGAAAGTGCAGGTGCTGAATGGTGATGATGGGGCTGTCCCTGGACCTCCCTGCCATCCCAAGCAGCCAGCATCCCCATGCCCAGGTTAGTGCTTGGGCAGGAGGCACAAAGGACTAAACCCAGGCTGGTGGTGGCCACCTCTAGGAGGGGTGGAGGAGAGCAGGCTGGGAGGCATGCCATGCTGTGACCTTCATGGCTCTTGCCCATGGACACTGAGCCCCCCTACATTTCCAAAGGCCAGGGGACAGGCTCTGGGATGCCTGTTCCAGGGGCTCACTCCTGGGGTCCTGGTATCTGTGGCGGGACTCCTGGTATCTTCTGAATGGGTGTCTCTGCCCAGCTCTGCACCCCTCCCTTCCCTCCAGGGCCTTCTCTTGGCAATAACCCTACCTCCCCTTACCCAGAGTCCCAGCCACCCAGAGACCTGGACTTGGAGGTTTTCTGTGATTCCCTGGAGCAGCTAGAACCTGAGTTGGTGAGACTACCCTCCATTCCTTCCCCTTCCCTACCCACTGTGCCCTGGTTCTCCACTTCCACCCCTGGACCTGTGACTCATCTCAGCAGGTTTGGGCAGAACAGAGGGGAGCAGCTGGAGGAGAGCCTGACACCAGAAACAGTCTTGAGCCCCCTGGAGAGGAAGGTGAGCTCCTGCTGTCCTTTCACCCCCTCTGCCCTTCCCCAGGGTTCTAGGGCCCCAGGCCTTCCCTTGGCTTCACTCTTAGGGCAAAGGTAAAAGTCTAGAGCAGGTCCTGGGGACAGCAGCCTCTGCCCAGCAAAGGTTGCCAAACAGCCGCAGACGCCTGCCTGGGTGGACAAACCCCTGCCCTGCCTCCTCACCTGCAGGCCACCCAAGAGTCTATACCCTCTGCAGGTCGCTGAGCAAGGACAGCTCTGTCACTGCCAGCTTCATGGCTTTGGGAAGTCACCAAAATTTTCTGAAATTCTCTCTTGGGAATCTCAAAAGACAATGAATTCTGCCCTATTCCCGTTTAGAATTTCCTGTGTGCCAAATCCCCAAAGGAGCATGTCCATAAATATTTCCTTTATTTCACTGAGCAAGCTGCCTTGAGGGCTAGGGGAGCGCTCTACTACTGAGCCATACCCCCAAGTCCTTCTAACTTTCAGATGACAAAATGAGACTCCTCAAAGTTAAAGATTTACCCATATTCTTCCAGCTAATCAATGGAAATTGTGGGATTCAATCCTCTCACCCGCCACAGCCCAGTACTCAGCCCTGTGGATGAGGACATTACAAGAGGCATACTTGGGACTAAGCATTCAGCTCTACTTAGACACTTTCCCAGACCTGCCCAAGTCTGCACCATAGCTGAGTCCCCTTCCCTGTGTCTCTGTGCTTTGCAGAAGGGTTGGGGGTCACCCTGCTGGGGCCCCAGGAGTTGGATACATGGCTGGTGGGGACAGTTCGGGCACTGCAGGAGAACATGCTGGATGTCCAGGGGAGGCTGCAGAGCCTGGAAAGCAAGCCCCAGCCCCCTGAGCAGGTGAGGTCCCCCTCCCTTATTTAAGAATTGGTACGAGATTGGTACCGAACTTTGTCTCTGCTCTGGGCTCCTCATCAAGCCATTTCTGTCGTTGTCACCATGCCTCCATCTGCCCACAGCTCTGTGCAAAGAATGGTGTGGCTTCTGTTGCAGGCAGGGAGGTCAGGGGGTCTAAAGTACTTCTATCCTGGTGGGAGAGTGGGAAGAGGACCCTTCCCTGCTTATCCACCTCTTCCTGAAAGAAACCCAGCGTGAGGCTAATACCAAGAGTTAGGAGGACCATGAGGTATCTGAGCTTTGCACTAGAGCTGAGGTCCCTGTTGCCCCTCAGCCAAAACTCCAATTCTCAGATTTAGGATTTACCCCCAAACAGTTGATTCAGTCCTGCATCCTCCATCCAGCTCAGCCATGTTGAGTAAATGACAGCTAACATTTCTGGAGCCCCAGCAGCCAAATATCTGCATTCTGTCAATGAATCCATATGGTGAGCCCATGAAATAGGTTTTCTTTTCATCTCCCTTTTACACATGGAGAAACTAAGGCTCTGAGAGGTTGAGTAACTTGTCTGAGGGCACAGAGCCTCACTGAGATGCACAAAGGTGCTTCTGCAGTGCTCAGTGTCCAGCAAGGCCTCCTCCAGTGCAGTCCATTGTTATTACAGTTATTATTAACATTTAGGATGGAGTTGGGCATAGCCTCAAGTTGGTCTCCCCTTTTACTCTGGTACCCAGCATTCTGAATGGTCTGGTTTTTTTATTTTTATTTTTGGAGGGATGTGCTGGGGATTGAAAACCCAGTGGGTGTTTTTTGTTGTTGTTGTTGTTTTGGTTTTTAACCACAGAGATATGTCCCCCAAATTTTCTTTTTTTCCCCTTGAGACAGGGTTTCCTCCCTAAGTTGCTTAGGGCCATGTTGAGTTGCTGAGGCTGGCCTTGAACTTGATATCCTCTTGCCTCAGCCTCCTAAATCTCTGGGATTACAGGTATGCACCACCAGGCCCAGGTATGCATGGTCTGTTCTTGAGAAGCCTGGGGTGGCTAGAGCACAAGAGGGTTGGCTGCATGTGGGGATCTCTGGGGTGACCCCTAACCCACTGAGCATAGTGGGTATGAGCCATTACAACAGTGATTTCAACATCCCTTCTTAATGGCTGACTTTCAGAACCACCCCTCCCCCCACAGGGCATTCTTTCTTTTCTTTTACTTTTCTACTTTTTGCCAATTTTAAATGCCAAGGATTTTAGAGTAGATTATAGACATCATGATGTTTCACCTCAAAATACTTGGATTTACATCTCTCAAAAACATTCTACTACCTTGCCAAAACATTTTATCACACACAACTAATTCCTTAACTCATCAAATACCAAATTCAAATTCAGAGTTCTCCAGTTGTCCTAAAACTGCTTTTTCCATCTGCTGTTTGCTCAGTCCAGGACTATACCCTGCACCCAGTTCTTCTGTCCTTTAAGTGATTATATTATTCTTATTATTTGGGGGGGGGGGGTACTGAGGATTGAACCCAGGGCTTTGAGCATGGTAGAAAAGCGCTCTGCTGCTAAGCATCTCTATGCTAAGTGTCCTTTAATCTAGACCAGTGCATTCCCATGCTACTAGCTTGCTGATCAGGCTTGGGAAGGAGGCTGTAGAATGAATGTTCCACCTTTTGGGTCTAATTCCATGTGTTTCCTCTATACGATGTGTTTCCTGTGAACTGGACATTAGAAATAAGAAACTGAGTTAGGGTCAGGTTAAAGATTTTGGACCAGAGGTGATGTTCTTCACATCAGAGGACATTTGATACCTGGATGTTTACTACTAGAGATTGTAGCAAGGTCTGCTGGCATAAAAGAAGGGGTGAAGATCTCACTCCACCTATGTAAAGTCAAGTTTTCCTCTTGAATCCAGGAAATATCTGGCTCCTCAGAATTTGCCACACAGTTTTTGATAACAATTGATTATCTTTGCCTGAATCAATTATTTAATTAGTGATTGCAAAAAAAATTGATTTTAAAATTCTATTCCTGAAACATTTATTAGATGAAAAATTTCTGTAGGGTTTCCCTGTTTATCTTGGGTTTTCTTGAAATACAATCCCTTATGGAAAAGCAGAATAAGTTCTTAATTCTTCTTATTGTTTGTGCATATGACACCTGGCATAGAACCCAAGACCTTATTATTATTTGTGGGGGGGTACTAAGGATTGAAAGGGCTTTAAGCATGCTAAGCAAGCACTCTGCCACTGAGCTGTAACCTCCAGCCCTTAATTATCTATTTTTAAAGTAAGGAGTTGACTTAAAAGTAGTCTCCTCAATGGTGATAAACTTCTAGTTTTTCTTATTCGTATTTTTTTTTTTAACAGTACTGGAGAGTGAACCCAGGGCACCCCTCTACCACTGAGCTACACCCCAGTCCTTTTTATTTTGATACAGGGTCTCACTAAATTGCTGAGACTGGACTCAAACTTTCAATCCTCCTACCTCAGCCTCCACGTCACAAGTGTGTGATTCCCCATCCCAGTTAATTTTCTCTTTTGAGTAGATTATGGACTCCTGATTTTTAAAGACTCAGTATCCCCATCAACTGTAATGATCATTCTTTTTGATGCCCAGATTGTCTCCAGTCTGGCAGTGGAGATCCTTGCAAGCCAGGTCTTACCTTCTTAGAACATGACCTCCTTCATTTTTAGAAGCTACCTGGCTTTCTGGTACAAGAGGCCCCACACACTCCCCACCAGCTCCTTTCACTGCCCCTGTCCTGGAATCTGCCACTTCTCCAAGGAGCTCTGGCTCTTTCTAGAAGATGATTTTTAAAAATTTATTTATTTATTTATTTATTTATTTATTTTTGTGCTGGGGATGGCTGGCCTCGAACTTGCCTCAGCCTCCAGTAGCTAGGATTACAGGTGTGCACCACCGGCCCAGCTGGAAGAGAACATTTCCAAACTAACATCAGGTCCTTGTTTAAAATATGTGGCACATACTTTACAATACAGGGTTTTTTGGTCCTAACAGGGTCATTGCTGTGTGGCCCAGAGGAGCCAGTCCCTCCCTCCAGCCTGTCCTGGCATCTGGGCCTGGAAGATGTGGGAGGAAGTTGGGTCTCAAGGAGTCAGGGACACTGCCAGCTAGTGGTTCAGACTTGGGGGTAAGATCCTCCCAATCTTGGGGAGGCAGGACTCTCTGTGAATTCTGGAAGCAGGTTCCTAAGGAGGGCTGTGCTGAGCCTAGGATGGCCTCTGACTCCTTCCCTCTTGACAGCAGAGGCCCAGGCCCAGGGCTCGGCCTTGGCCTCTCAGGCTCTCGGCTCCCACGCTGCTCTTCCTCCTCCTGTGGCCCTTCGTCGTCCAGTGGCTGTTACGGCAGTTTCGGATCCAGAAGAGGTGACTTCAGCAAGGGGCCTCTAGTCAACCCAGGGGGCTTTGAACTCCTGTCCTGCTGTGCCCTGAGTCTCCCACGTTTTAGGAGAAAAGCATTAGCAATCCCCTCCCATCCGCGTTTGCCTTGGCACCCCCTTACCCAACAGGGGCCCGATAAGACCCCACCCTTCCAAGCAGGTCACACAGACTCTCCTTCCACCCACCTCACGCTGTCCTGGAAGGCTGCAGACTAGGTGCTCATCCCCACATTTTCGGGTGGCTGTGAGCAAGGCGGGGCTGCCAGGTCTCAGCCCCTCCGGCCCCACCCTCTGGGTCACTTGACTCCAGGCTTCTCCCAGAGGCGGCTCAGCTCTTGGGCAAGTTGGGACTTGGGCCAGGCCCTGGAAGACGGATTGGCTGGGAGGTGGAGGAGTGCGCAGGCCCGGGGAGGGCGGGGAGCGCCGATCTTGCTTGCTTCCCTGTCCAGCCGCCCCGACACACCGCTCAGGACGTCTTCACAGAAGATTCTTTTACGAATGAATGTTTCACTAAATAAAATAAAACCTCAATCTTCTGCCGTCTGGGCCCCCACGAAGGGAGCGGGAAGGGGCTCAGTGCGCGAGGCACAGGACCCCGGCAGGCTCCTCCCCCAGTGCCCCGTGGACGGCCCCAGAGGCCCGCGGCTAGTTTCTGAATGAGGACTGTTTTCCCTCCTCCCCGGGCAAACCGAGGGAAAACAGGTCCCCGGCGGGCGGCCGCGCCCTGGCTCCCAGCGCCCTGCCTTCCCGCCCCGTCTGGGCACACGGGGCTGGTAGGGCCGGTCCCGGCAGAGCAAGGGGGCGGGGTGTGACAAGGAGGGCCCAAGTTTGGGGCCCTGTCTGAAGGGGAGAGCGGCGGCTTCTCGCTATGCCCGTGGCCCTCTCCTCAGCATACCTCCCATCTTCCAAGAGAACTTTTTGGAAGGCCAATGTCCAGCGGGAGCCCCGCCCCTGTTCTCCGCTGAATGCGGGGACAAGACCTATTAAGGTAGGCCTAGCTCCTGCTTAGGCCTTAGGGACCGCTTGGCTTCTGAACTTTTGTAACTTTTTTTTGCGAAGCCTCCCTCTGGTACGTGCCTGCCCGGTCTTCCCTCCTGGGCCTCCCTGGCTCCAGCTACCAGCCCGTATTTGATCTCGACCTGGCCACTCCAAGTGCCTCCTGGTGCCTGGGCAGGGTTCAGAGTCATGGAGGACTGTAGCAGCATTGACCTCCAGCAGCTGCCACCACTTGGGTCCCAGGACCTTTCTGTCCTTGAGTAAGAAGCAGTCTTGAAGGCCCTTGGCTAGAGTCCCTTAGACTTCTGAGCTCCCTCAGCCCCTCTCCACTGCCCCAAGCTTGGCCATCATTTGCCCCACTGGAAGCCACAGTCACTCTTTGGCCTTCATTGATAAAGATGAACAGCAGCAGGGCAGCTGGAGAAAGACTAAACTGGTGATGGGTTGCAGGGAGGATGCAGTCCTCCCCTTGCATGCTGGCTCTGTGAACCTGGGCAAGGTTCTTAACTGCTCTGAGCCTGGGTTTCCTTGTTTGTGAAACATGAATGATCCCTTCATCAAAAGGCAAGCCTGAGTTTAACAGTGGGGTTTAACAATGATTGACCAGATAAAATGTCTGACAAAGGAATGGAATTCAGTCAATATTGAGGTGCCTGGCCCCTTGTTTCATAGCAGAATTTCACACTGTATGAGTCTGATCACCTCTCCCCCAGTAAGACAAATGAGACCTTATAGCTGAACCATCTAGTAAACAGGCTGGGTTCAGCCTCAGTTCCTCTGAAGCCTAAAAATATAGTAAAAGTTTGAAGGGCTTTTGACTCTCCTAGTGAAATTCTCTACCAAGACCCTTCCTTCTGGATTCTTGGTCTATAAGAGCCTCCTAAGGGATAGATAAATTCAGGCCGGGCACGGTGGGGCAAGCCCGTAATCCCAGCAGCTTGGAAGGCTGAGACAGGAGAATTATGAGTTCAAAGCCAGCCTCAGTAGAAGCAAGGCGCTAAGCAACTCAGTGAGACCCTCTCTAAATAAAATACAAAATAGGGCTGGGATGTGGTTCAGTGGTCAAGTGCCCCTGAGTTCAATCCCTGGTACAAAAAAAAAAAAGAAAGAAATTCAGAGGAGGGAAGGCTTTTCAGATAGACTTGATTTACTTGAAGCCCACACAAAGCTGGGGTGGTAATTTCCAAAACACCTGGATAAGTCCCAGAGTCACTTCTGCTTCTTTTTCTTTGGAGGCAGTCTGCACTGAACATGCCTATTACTACCGCCCTACCAACCACTTCATGCTCCTAGACAATAATCTGCTTCCCATAGGAGGCCTACTCCTCATAATCCGTCTTCGCCCCAGGGGCCAATGCAAAATGGAGATCCGCAACCGAGCCTCTGGCCAGGGGTGGGGGCACAGGCCCATAGTTCCAACTACTCAGGAGGTTGAAGGGAGAATGGCTTAAGCCCAGAAGTTCCAGACCAGTCTTGGAAACAGCAAGATCCCCTCTCAAAAAATAATAATAAAAAGTAAAATCGTTCGGGCTGGGGATATGGCTCAAGTAGTAACGCGCTTGCCTGGCATACCTGAGGCACTGGGTTTGATCCTCAGCAGCACATAAAAATAAAATAATGATATTGTGTCCACCTAAAAGCTAAAAAAATAAATACTGGGGGGAAAAAAAAGTAAAATGTCTCTTCCTGCCACTTTGCACGAAAATTCTTCATCTTAAGAGCCAACTCACAAACAGCTTGGCTCACAAGCCTTTATGGGGATTTTTCTTTTTTTTTTTTTTTAAATATTTATTTATTTATTTTTAGTTCTCGGTGGACACAACATCTTTGTTGGTATGTGGTGCTGAGTATCGAACCGGGCCGCACGCATGCCAGGCGAGCGCCCTACCGCTTGAGCCACATCCCCAGCCCTGGGATTTTTCTTTACTTGCCATTTTGGTTCACTGTGGTTTGGTGGCAGTCCATGAACAACCTGAAGCAAGTATGACATTTTATTAATCTTTGTGCCCTCTTAACAACCAAATGATGAAATAAGGGTTTGCATTAGGTGAAGGCTATTGGAAATAAAAGGAACTCCAAACTAGAGTTCTTGAGGAACAAAAGGTGCGTGTGGGGAGGGAGTTCTGTTTCTGACAGAAAGAAAAATGGCATGGGGGTCACTTTAGCCAGAACTGCCACTTAGCTGTCATGTGATCTTGGACAAGTCACTTAATTTCCACAATTTTTAAAAGATTTCTTTAAAATGGAAACAATAATTCCTACCCTGCCTACCTCACTGGGCTATGATGAGGTCAAACGGTTCTGTGCCTAAAAGAACCTCATCCAATCTACACCATTTGGAATGTAAGGAATTGCTATTATGGAATAAGAATGGGTCACTGGGTGGGTGGCCTGGGAGAAAGTGGCGATTATGCCAAAGTGATTAACGTGGAGGGCTCTCCCGGATCTTTGGGCAGAGTTTTGCGTCTGGAGAATGCCTCTCACTGGGGAATCCCCCCACCCGACCCCCGCGGCCACGAATCTACCCCCACAGTCCTGGATCCTCATTTCAGGGCAAGGCCCTTCCTCCTCATTAGGGAAGCCTCTGGCCCTGCTTCCCTCCCTCCCTCCCTCATTCTCGTTCAGCACCCACTGAGAAGGGAGGACCTCTGTGGATGACACCCCCCTTCTCTTCTAGAAACCCAAGACTGTTTATTTAAACTCATTCATTTCGAACCCCTTCTCAAGAATGATGCTCATTAGATGACCCAGCTTCCCCTGACCTAGCTGAGGAAATGTTTTAGGTCTCGGAAGTGAAGAGACCAAATCAGCCCCAGGAGGCCATTTTCTTCGACAGAAGCCGAGATCAGAGGGCGAGTCCTTCACCCCCACCCAGCGCTTTAGATCCGGCCACGGGAGAGGCTCGGTCGCCGATCTCCATTTTGCATTGGCCCCTGGGGCGAAGACGGATCTCAGAGACCAGGCAGGGGTTGGAACTCGGCCACCTTCACCCAAGGGTTCCCGAGGTAGTCAGGGATCGACGTCACCCGGGACTCGAACCCTCTCTCTTCTCTCCCGAGGCCTCGTCTGAGGCTGCTGCACGAAAGGGCGGTCATACTGTCTCTTTAAGGCGGCACTTTTTTATTCTTCATTTGTTTACTTCTTCATGCGCTTTTACGTTTTTTTTTTTTTTTTACAAAAACATGTTGACTATATCCTTCCGCAAATGTCCGGCCCAGGCACCAACAACCCACCTTTAAGCCATTGCTGTAGTCTTATGAATCCAGAGTTTGTAGTTGTGGCCAGCATCTTTCTTTATAGGATTTCTCCTCTTTTACACATTAGGGACTACTTTTTAGGAATAAACCATTTTTTACTTTAATTAACAAATGTTTATCATTGACGGAACCCTTCCGCTGATAACAGAATACGATAATAGTCTTTAAAACGCACCTTTTCATAAAAATAGTCTGTGTGGGCTCCCAAAGATCATGGAATCTTCTTGTATTCCTTAAGCAGAATGGTATGGTCCAGAACCCGCCCCATGTCCTCTGCGATTGGCCTTCCTTCCTTGGTGAGACAAGCGACTCTTGACCAATGGTCACTCGGGTTTCTCTAGCAAGGGCTAAGCGATGGAAGGAGGCGGCCTGGGAGACGCCTCCTGCGTGATCTGGGATTGGCTACGTCGCACGGCGCGCGAGGATGGCGGGCCTGAAAGATGGAAACTACGACTCCCGGTATCCAGTGATGGGTACTCCGTTACGCATGCGCATGGGGGGGACGAACAGACTTCTATATAAAAGGGGCGCAGAGGGCTGGGAGGCAGCAGTTGGAAGTTGGCAGGTGGAAAGGCAGGTTGGGAGGGGAAGTCGGGGAAGGAGGCGGAAGAGGAGCTGTCTGAAAGGGGAGGAGGGAGGGAGGAAAAGAGGAGGAGGCGGAGGAGAATTGAGCTGAGCAGAGCATCGAGCCAAAGGGGAGATGAGTTTGTCTGTCCTCGGCTAAGGCTCCGGCCGGGCCTAGGGAACTGGGAGCTTGGGCTGGAGCGACACCCGTGGAAGTGGGAGGAGGTGGCTCTGGGACTTTAACCCCTTGTGGGCTCTGCGGCAGGGGATTTAACCCTTTGTGGATTCGGCCCCTCGGAGAAAGCGTCATCGGGTAGTTTTAACCCCTTCGGGGCTGAACTTAACCCGTTGGACTTAATCTCATCTTCTTGCCCAACTCCTCGATCGTGGGGGCATTCGGCGGGGAGGTCTGAAGCCCACCCAGTCCGCACGTTACGTACTGTTCCTGCCGCTGCACCCCTCGGACCCGCTAGCTGGCCGCGCTGTGGGCGCTTAACCCTTTACTGACTTGAGCTCCCAAGTTGGGATTGGAGTTTGCTGACAGAAGGACTGGCTAAAGGCGTCACTGCAGAAATTACAGACCGAAGAGAACTATTGGACATATTTTAAAAGAAAAGATAAACCTCTTTTTCCCCTTAAGGACTTACAGACAAAATTCCTCAAACTTCGCGGACTCTTCTAGTCATGGCCGAACCACTCTTGTCAGAATATCAACACCAGCCTCAAACTAGCAACTGTACAGGTGCTGCTGTTGTCCATGAAGAACGGAACCCTGAGAGCCCCCCAGGCGCGGAGGAGCGGGTGCCCTCGGAGGACGGTAGGTGGCAATCGAGAGCGTCCCCCCAGTCGGGTGGCCGGCCGGGGCCAGAGGGGGAAGGGAGTCTGGAGCCCCATCCTCCTCCCCTGCAGACCCAGGCCTGTCCAGAATCAAGCTTCCTGGAAGTGGGCGAGAAGGGCCAAAATGGGGACGACATGTCCGCTGGCGGAGTCTCCTCACCGCCGGGAGGAGAACCGATGTCCGAGGCGCTTGCCCAGCCGTGTCATGACAACGAGGCCAACAAGTTGGGGGCTTCTGCCGTTGGGGGAGAGGAGGCGTGGGGACAACAGCAGAGACAGCTAGGCAAGAAGAAACACAGGAGACGCCCCTCCAAGAAAAAGCGGCATTGGAAACCGTACTACAAGCTGACCTGGGAAGAGAAGAAAAAGTTCGATGAGAAGCAGAGCCTGCGAGCTTCCAGGATTCGAGCTGAGATGTTCGCCAAGGGCCAGCCGGTCGCGCCCTATAATACCACGCAGTTCCTTATGGATGACCACGACCAGGAGGAGCCAGATCTCAAAACCGGGCTCTACCCCAAACGAACCGCCGCCAAATCCGACGACACTAGCGATGAGGACTTTATGGAAGAAGCCGGTGAAGAGGACGGGGGTAGCGACGGGATGGGAGGGGACGGCAGCGAGTTTCTGCAGCGGGACTTCTCGGAGACGTACGAGCGGTACCATGCGGAGAGCCTGCAGAATATGAGTAAGCAGGAGCTCATCAAAGAGTACCTGGAGCTGGAGAAGTGCCTCTCGCGCATGGAGGACGAGAACAACCGGCTGCGGCTGGAAAGCAAGCGGCTGGGTGACGACGCTCGTGTGCGGGAGCTGGAGCTGGAGCTGGACCGACTGCGCGCCGAGAACCTCCAGCTGCTGACCGAGAACGAACTGCACCGGCAGCAGGAGCGTGCGCCACTTTCCAAGTTTGGAGACTAGACTGAAACTTGCGGGGAGGGGGCAAAGGGGACTTTTTACAGAGCTGGAATGTAACATTATATACATGTGTATATAAGACAGCGGACCTTTTTATGACACATAATCAGAAGAGAAAATCCCCCCGGCTTTGGTTGGTTTGGTAAATTTAGCTATGATGTAGCTTGCGTGCTTTCTCCTGTTCTTTAATTATGTGAAACTGGAGAGTTGCTTTTCTTGTTTTCCTTTTTAGAAGGAGTTTTTTTTTTAATGTGTAAGTAATTTGACCAAGTTATAATGCATTTTTCTGTTTAAAAAAATCCCCTCCTTAAGCGGAGCTACAAGGTGGCCAAATCTGAGAACCATTAAATTCATTCTAGTTATAATAAATTTAATATTTGTAAATGTAACATAGTTTCAGTGTGATTTCTAGACCTAACTCTTGATTTATGACTACATTTTTGAGGAGAGATGATGAAATAGTCATTGTCAGTTTGAAAAAAAAAAATGGGAGAATTTTTTTTTTAATTTGTGACCCCCCCAACAATGAATAGGTTTTAGTATGCTTCAATATACAGTTCAGCCAAAATATAAATATTTGATTATCTTAAATACTTAAAGTGTGCTTGCTTTCTAGTGCCTTGGTTTTCTTTCATGATGTTAGAGAAATGTGTTTTGGAGAGTGCACAGAAGCTATAGTCAGAAGCTTAATTTGAATTCTGCTTCTTGATGGCCATTCAAGTCTACTAACACAATTTGGCAGTTTGTTAGGACAGACAACTAACAGCCTTCATTCCTACAAGTTGGTTTCTAGTAATTCTTCCCTCCCTACCTGCCTCCCCACCCCCACAGGGCTAGAAGTTCCTGGATGCTTGGATGAGGCTCTTAGTAAACCTTGCTTTAAGCAGTGATTAGATTAGGTAAATTTATGGGACAGCTATTTCTTTCAGTACTGGGGATTGAACCCCATGGCACTTTACAGCTGAGCTACATTCCCAACCCTTTTGATTCTCTGAGACAGGGTCTCTGCAATGTGCTGAGGCTGGCCTCACATTTCCAATCCTCCTGCCCTTAGCCACTTTAGTAGCTGGAATTATAGGCCTGTAACAAGGTGCTTGGCAGTGGCAGGTGGCTCTTTATGCTGAGATGTTTGAAGGTAGGGAATATTAAACTTACCAAGGACTTACCCTAATTGTCCAATACCTAAGTGCTTACACCAAGAAAAAAAAAAAAAAAGTTGTCCACCCTTCCATGAGGGTTGAACTAAGTTAGAAATGCACATCACTGTAAATCCAATGAAAAGCAGTGAAGTGGTGCATGGTTGTAATCCCAGCTACCTGGGGAGGCTGAGGTAGGAGGATCACCACAAGCATGAGGCCAGCCTTGGCAGCCTAGCAAGACATTGTCTCCAAAAAATAAAAAGGCCTGGGGATTGAACTCAGTGGTAAAGTACCCCTGGGTTCAATCCCCAATATAAAAAGAAAAACCTCTAGTTAGATGAGGTTCTTGGATGCTGAAGGAGGGACCCTGCATGTTTCTTATACAGCAACTATTCTGTTCTGTCTCCTTAACTGTGCTTACAGCTGCTTTTGTTCTTGAGTAGCTCTGCTCTTAAGAAATGCAGGGTGGCCCTGAGAACTAATTCTTGTCCCAAAAATAGTAAAAAATTAAATGACTATTCCTTCCTGTCACCATGGTTTACCCAGCCCTCATTCACTTGTCCTGTTTCCCTAAGGAAACTATTGTTTAAATCATTAGCACAGGGGTTCCTTAACTTGGGGCCTTATAAACCACAGGGGGCCTTTGGGTCCCTGAACTCACAAAATTATATGTAGTCTTGTGTCATATGCACATTTTTTTCTGGGGATGGAGTTAAGAGTCATGAGATGTCAAACTCCTTGAAGGTTAAGAACCTCTGTAGGAAAAGGAGAAGAAACCCCTCCCTTTGGGAAGCCAGCATTTGAAGCTAAATAGCAATAGTGGAGGTGGTGGGAACTTCAAGAGTGCACCTTCTGATGCATAAGTAGTATATACAAATCAATAAAAAATCAAGGGGAATTATGCCAGTAGGATAAAATGAGGGCCTTCAAAACTGGACTGCGCTCATCCTGTTCTGGTAGGCGGTTCACTGGAGACAATGTATTATCCGTGTTTTTCCTTGGCCTAAAGATTACATTAAATGTCTATTTTGAAATAGTTTTCTTCGTGTTTTTAATTTTTTGTCTACTATGACATCATGCAGCAGCACAAGAAAAAATGTTTGGTGGAAAGGTGGCAGCAACAGTGCCCTCTGGCTTTACTGTGCAGAGCCATGCCTCATTTTGACTGCACTACAGGATGCAGCAGTGATAATCTCTGATTTTAGATCCTCTTCTTATGGAGGATTTAATAGAAAGAACCTATTTCCCCTACCATTAGAAACATGAAATTTCCAAAATCAATCTTGGAAAGACTACAAATGTGTTTATTATCAGGAAAAAAAAAAGTGTTCTACTTTTAGGAGACAAGTCCAGTCAAAAAATTTACAAATATTTAGTTCTAAGTAACTCTCAAATTTGATTTGAGTTATGCAACTTTGTCAGAATCTTGCTTTCAAAGGCACTTGCATTTCACTATACTTATTGCATTTATGTTCTTAGAATGAAGTTTATGCAAAACATGTTTTCTATTAACACTTTCTACATTCAGAACTTGGCTAATCTACTGCTCTCCCAACAAAGAGGCCAAGTTGCCTATAGTAACCGGCTTGTGATGACAAATGATCCCCTAGCCAACTATGAGCCTTTCACTAAAGTCCTTTGCAAAACATTTTAACTGAGCCGTTCAAAAGAATGGGCTTACAAATTAAGACATTTCAGTTTCTTGCCTTTCTCATATTGGGACCTGGGTAACCAACCAGGGAAAATGGCTTCCCAAACTGACAAACTAGTTGGACAGAACTTTATCCTCCCTTGAGTAAGGACAGCTTTTCCTGGGCTAGCCTATAACAGAGGTCATTAGGAGACAAGGTCCTTCAGATTTCAATTTTGAGGGAGAGGACTAAAGAGTTCCATATTGGTTTAGTCCTGAAAAAAGGACTAGGTCAGCCTGGCATGGTGATGCAAGCCTGTAATGGGAGACATAGGAGGCTGACACAGGATCACAGTTTTAAGGCCAGTCTCTGCAACTTAGTGAGACCCTTAGCAATTTAGGAAGACTGTCTCACAAAGGGCTGGAGATGTGGCTCAGTGGTAGAGCACCCTTGGGTTCAATCCCCAGTGCTGGGGGAAAAAACAAGGGAGTATATCTAAAAATAGGAAGCAAAAGACTAGGTATAACTAGGAATTAGACAACCAGGGTCCTAGTCATATCTTTGATATGAACTAACAGTGAAAGCCTAGACACATCTCAAATTCTAAGCCTCCTTATTATCAACAAAAGTAAGCATTGCCATGCCTACTTCATATAATTGTAAGGATTTAAAGAGCACAAAAGATACAGTCAGGGGGCTGGGGTACAGCGCTCGCCTAGCACATGCGAAGCCCTGTGTTCGATCCTCAGCACCACATAAAAATAAATAAATACAATAAAGTATTGTGTCCATCTACAACTAAAACATATATATTAAAAAAAAAAAGATAGTCAGACACAGTGGTGCAGGAGTGTAATCCCAGTGATTCAGGAGGTTGAAGCAGGAGGATCAAAAGTTCAAAGCCAGCCTCAGCAATTTATTGAGACCCTGCCTGAAAATACAAAATGGGCTAAGAATGTGGCTTAGTGGTTGAATACACCTGGGTTCAATCCTCAGTACTAAAAAACAAAAACAAAATTAAGATACAGCCGGATGCGCTGGCACATGCCTGTAATCCTAGCATTTTGAGGCTGAGGCAGAAGGAGGATTCTGAGTTCAAAGCCAGACTCAGCAAAAAGCTAGGCACTAAGCAATTCAGTGAGACTCTGTCTCTAAATAAAATACAAAACAGGGCTGGGGATAAGGCTCAGTGGTTGAGTGCCCCAGAGTTCAATCCCCTATACCCCCACTCCCCCCCAAAAAAAAACAACACCAAAACAAAACAAAAAAACAGGTATACAGGGCTGGGTATATGGGACAATGATAGAGTACATGCATGATGCCCTGACAGAGGTGTGGGGAGGGGAGGTACTACTGGCATGATTATTGATTCTGTTTAATCATTCTGCTTAAACTGCCTGAGCAGATGCCCAACAATTTGATTAGTGTTTCAACTTTTAGGGGGCGAATACTTGAGCTTGAACCCAGGGGTGCTTAGCCACTGGGTTATACCCCAGTCCTTTTTATTTTTGAGACAATGTCTGACTAAGATGCTTAGGATCTCACTAAACTGCTGAAGTTGGCTTCAAACTTGTGATCCTCCTGTCTCAGTCTCCCAAATCGCTGCAATTACAAGCAAGTGCTACTGTGCAGGCCAGTGTTTCAATGTTTGCTTCACCAAGAATAAAATAAAAATCCTCTTCTTGGGAAATGTAAATAAATACACTTTATCCTAATGATTTTAAAAGTTAGAACTCAGTAAAAAAGTTAGATCAAAGAGGGACTCCATAGAATTAAAAACAAAATCCAAAACTGAATAGTCTACCTTCAGAAACTCAAAGGCTGACTGTCTTTAATCAAACATTAGATAGTGCCGTGAGTGTTCCCTGGCCATTTATACTCCTAATAGTTGGTGAAAATATTCACAACAGTGTGGTGAAAAGTAGGCTATAATTAAGACATTATTTGCATCTATCCACCTTAAATACACTTGAGTTCACGGGGCTTTATTATTTTTCTGCGGGGGAGTAACTTTTTCACATTTATACAGGCAAGATCATGGGAATATAAACTTCACTGACTTTTTCATACAAAGCATAAATGGTTGGTGTTATAAATAAAAATTTTTATTTTAATTTGTATTTTTTAAATTTTCGTTCTACCACTGAGCTAAATCCCCAGTCAGAAAAGCAATTTTAAAACAAGAAAAATGTCAAAATTTGGATCCTGAACATCATCAGAGTTGCTGACTGAAGGGTAATAACAGTCATTCTTTGCAATTGGAACAAAATATATAATCTAGCAGACAAAGATTGAATCTTTGGCCAACTTTTGCCAATTGTCTTTGAATACTGGAAACCTTACCCTTATGGTTCTTGAAAAAACAAAAGGTTGGGCTTAGGCAGATCAATAACTCAGCTGTTACCATCTTCTCAAGTAAATTTTTTCTTGGTTTTACTTAGAGGAGTTCAATTATGACAAATGATAAAATAACATGGGTAACAGGAGGAATAATCCTAGTGGTTCATTAATAAACCATTGCATTCCAACAAAATTCAAATGGTTGAGCTACTACAGTAAATCGTCAACTCATTTGAAATACCTAGTGTGATTGATTGTTCCCTCAAAATAACATCAAGAGCAACTACACTGGGCCTAATTTTTTTTCAAGTAGAGCAAGAATTCAGAAGAAATTATAAACTCTTATCTAAAGCTGTATTCTTTTAATCACAACCACTGACTTTGTGTGAAGTGTTAAAAGTCCTGGATCAGCTGGACGAAGTGGCAAAATTCTGTAATCCCAGCAGCTGGGGAGGCTGAAGCAGGAGGATAGCAAGTTCAAAGCCAGCCTCAGCAACAGCAAGGCACTAAGCAACTCTGTGAGACCTGTCTCCAAATAAAATACAAAATAGGGCTGGGGGTGTGGCTCAGTGGTTGAGTGCCCCTCAGTTCAATTCCCAGTACCAAAAAAAAAAAAAAAAGTCCTGGATCTCCCCTGGGCACAGTGGCACCTGACTGTAATCCCAGCACCTCAGGAAGCTGAAGCAGGACTGCAAGTTCAAGGCCAGTCTCAGCAATTTAGTGAGGCTCTAACCAATTTAGGGAGACCCTGTCTCAAAACAAACAAACAAACAAAATTTAAAAAGGGCCAGGGATGTAGTTCAGTGGTAAAATGCCCCTGGGTTCAATCCCTAGCCCTAGCAGCACCAGCACCACTCCCATCATCCCCGCCCCCCAACTAAATCCCAGTCTCTAGCAAACAAAGGTACATTCCAAAAGAAAACTGTGAAAACAAATCTTGAGTGCTCTATACACAAGAATTTGGGAAAACTACAGCAAAATCTCTCAGTTAAGGCTAGAGCTTGTCCTTGCCTTCAAAGAGTGAGAGGAAGACATTAATTTGGAATTCTGAAACTTGATATTTTAAAAAAAATTTTTTTTTAGGACACTGGGGTTTGAATCCAGACCTCTGATCTATTATTAAGCTATATCCCCAGGTCTTTAACACAAGATCTTGCCAAGTTGCTGAGGCTAGCCTCAAGCTTGCAATCCTCCTGCCTCAGCCTCTCAAGTAGCTGGGATTTCAGGTGTGCACCACTGCGCCCAGCTAAACACATAATTCTAAATACCTGAATAACCTCAGCACAACTTTCCAGTAAAGCAAAACATCAAAATTAGGTAGGGAAGGAGTATCTAATAGCTCAGTTTCATCTTCCTCTCTAGTTGTTACTCTACACTGCACATTTTAAGCTCTTTTTAGTTGTGGATGGACACAATACCTTTTTTTTTTTTTTAATGTGGTGCTGAGGATTGAACCCAGTGCCTCACACATGCTAGGCAAGTGCTTTGCAACTGAGCCCCAGCCCCAGCCCCCAGCTGCCTTTTTTGTTTTGTTTTGGCAGCACTGGGGACTGAACCCAGGGCCTCAAGCATGCCAGGAAACAACTCTATCACTGACATGTATCCTGAACTTTTTTTTTTGGTGGTACCAGGGATTAAACCCAGGGGTGCTTAACTAGTGAGCCATATCCCTAGTCCTTTTTTGTATTTTATTTAGATAGGGTCTCACTGAATTGTTTAAGGCCTCATTAAATTGCTGAGGCTGCCTTAAACTCCTGATCCTTCTGCCTCAGCCTCCAGAGCCGCTGGGATTACAGGCATGTGTCACTGCACCCGGCTTGCATCCTAAAAACTTTTTGAGAAGTTGGGAGGTAGCACTGACATAATTTTCAAATTAGGAAACTGAGGCATACAGGCTTGTAGAAACTCATTTGTAAGGGGAGAGCTGAGGAGGAAGTTGAAGGTCTGGTTGGACATTGGATGAATAGGCTCAACAAATGACTGGCCTCATCATCAGGATTTGGCCTCTAGCCAAGCCAACCAGTCAGTGGTAGTGTGTACAGAAATAGAACTTTTAAGTTCCTAACCTCCAAGCATAGGCCTGTGTTTTTGTGCAGTAGGTTACCAGGGGGCCATTAATAAACTCATTTGTTTGTTTGAGAAGGCAGTCTCACTATGGTGCCCAGGCTGGGCTTAAACTTGCACTCCTACCTTGGCCTCCCAAGTAACTAAGCACAAGAATGCACCACCATGCTTAGCTAATAAACTGGTTTTATTCCCAACTTTTCTTACAAAAGAATGGAAAAGCTTCTAAGTCAACCTTAAAAATGGTTAAGCTTTTATTTATAAATAAGTAACAAATTTCTGTACCTGATGCAGTATCACCACTTAGCATCCAAAGGTTTAACTAGAATACTTCACAATGGAGGATGAATCACAAGAGGCTGATCCTCCTCCAATAAATTCTTGACAAAAGAACTACAAAAATAACCCTTTCAGCTCCTATGACTATTTAATTTGATTCCAACTTAGTGTTAGTTTTTCCTTACTCATCTTCTCTTGATCAGTGTATAGTTGAATGTGCCCAAAATCAAACTACAGGATGAATCAAGTGTACTGATGTTTCAGTTAGGAATTAAGTGGTTCAAATTTTGGATTAAGGACCCCAGTCAAGTCAGGTATGGTGGTATACATCTGTAATCCTAGTTATTCTGGAGGCTGAGGTAGGAGGATCCCAAATTGAGGCCACCCTGGGCCACTGAAAAGACTGTCTCAAAATAAAAAGGATTGGTGAGTAGTTCACTGGTAAAGCACCTCTGGGTTCAATCCCAAATACTGAGGGGTGGGGGGGAATACTTCTCAAGGGTGAATCTATTTTTACAGTCCAGTTTTAAGATTTCTCTGAGAAGCCAGGTGCAATGGTGCCCACCTGTATTCCAACAGCACAGGATGCTGAGGCAAGAGGATCACAAATTCAAAGCCAGCCTCAGTAATTTAGCAGTTTTTTTTTTTTCTTTTTCTTTTGGTATCAGGGATTGAACCCAGGGGCACTTAACCACTGAACTACATCCCCAGCCCTTTTTTATATTTTATTTAGAAACAGGGTCTCCCTGAATTGCTTAGGGCCTCACTAAGTTGCTGACGCTGGCTTTGAACTTGAGATCCTCCTGCCTCAGCCTCCTAAGAGCCACCAGGATTACAGGCATGCACCACCATGCCCAGCAATTTAGCAAACTCTTCAACAGATTAGCTGGACCCTGTCTCAAAACAAAAAATAAAATGATACGGAGATGTAACTAATTGGTAAAGCATACCTGGGTTCAAACCCCAGTACCAAAAAAAGAAAAAAAAAAATCTCTGAGAACATCTGAGGGGTGGAGGAAGAAAAGAGTTAAAGCTATGAAACTGCCACTCATATGACTTAAGGAAAACTACTAATAGGAGCAGCAGCACTCCAATTCTGAAGAAATTTTCAGGGTTCTTGGTTTTTGCTATTAAAGTCAAAGGCTTAGGAACAATTTAACCATCTGTAACTAGTAATGATAATTCATGACAAGGTACCTACAGAGGCAAAGTTCCCTGGCCAGTCACCAGCCTACTTCAGAGCCTACTTAGGCATTATTTCAAGTGACATTTTAGCGACAAACTATGATTTAAAGATATCCCTGAGCCACAAATCTCTCTGAAATTTAGCTCTCAAGCAGTAGGAAATAAGATGGTTTTATCTGGCTGCACTTGGTAGCACAGGCCTGTGATCCCAGTGACTCAGGCTGCTAAGGCAAAAGAATCACAAGTTCTAAGCCAGCCTGGCAACTTAGTGAGATCCTGTCTCAAAATAATATAAAAAGGCTGGGGATGTTGCTTAGCAGTAGAGCAACTCTGGGTTTAGTCCCCAGTACTATCCACCCCACACACACACAAAAAGAAGTTTAATTCAATACAACTTCACATCAAACTTTTTCAGTCTTTAAGAAGGTGATACAGCTATAATTTAGGGTTGAGTTTATTCTTTCAAAACAGGTTTCCCACACCTCCTAAATGCCAACTATTTAAGTAGATCAAAACTGCCATTCCTACTTTTGTGGCTTTTAGATCTACAGGAGATTCTCTCTTAACAATGCATTAGTGGCATGCAAAATATTCCCCCATTTTGTTTAGTCTGTGAAACAAAATTCTTTAAACTGGAAAGATCTTGTAGTCTTACAGAGATTACATTGAAATTAGTTCTTTTTTCCCTTTAGGAGGACAGCCATTCCTCCACAAGTTACAGCTCGGATTTCAAAACGTAAACAGATGTTTTTTAAGCATCTCAAAAGGGCCATTCCATTTTTATTCTGGGCCATGGTGATTCTGAATTATTGTGTGTTCCAACCCCGTAAAGGGTTGAACCTCATTCTTTTGTTGTAAACTTTCAAGAGAAGTGGGACAGCACACTTTAGGAGTTTCCAAAAGTGGCTGGCGACGTGTAAGGCCAGGTCGTTCCGAGAACCGGGGCTGGATGGGAGAAAACTTGAGGGCAAGAGTGCTCAGAGATCCCCAAGCACTGAGGCTGCAGGTTGTCTTCCCACTGTCCCCCGCCCCATCTAGGTGTCTCAAGGGAATTGATGGTTGCTACAATACTTAGAGGACAGTTCCTTTTCGCAGCCCGGGAGGCGGGGTGGCTTTGGTGTATGGGGTGGGGGTGGGGTGCGGAAAGGTGCTCCGGACTCAGCCCTCGAAGCCTTCGGCAGACTACCACACTTGGGGCACAGGCGACCAGAGCGGCAACCTCCGCCCTTCCCCTTGGCGCCAGTGCCTGAAATCTGGCGTCGCCCCTACTTAGACGAAGTGGGGGTCCCGCTAAGCTGGGCCCCGCCACCATGCCCAGGCCGAGTGGGGGTGGGGAGAGGCAATGACTGAAATCTGTCTCGAGACCAGCGCCCCAGTGAGAGGACAGCAAAGGGTAGGCGTCTCCCCAGCCTCTGTCCTGTTGGGGTCTCGGGAAACACGCGATAATCAGCCAAGAATCCCGCCCTACGTGAGCGGCGAAGCTGCGGGGCTGCCGGGACAGTTTGAGGGCCGGGCTAGGCGGGAGAGACTCCAACCTTCACCCTCCCCGGCCCCTGGTCCCACTCCCCGCCGTCTCCCGACGCCGCCACTTCAGATAGCCCACTCGGCCCGGCCTCTCCCCGCGCCCTGACCACCCCCCATGGGGTGCTCTCACTGCGCAGCGAGTCCCTCCGCTGCCTCCTCCCAGCCCAAAATGGCGGCGGCGGCCACCGAGCTTCTCGTCGCCTTCCTCAAGGGCCTGGGATCCCTCCGCGCTCGTAGCCCCTCCCCCCTCAGCCGGATCTATTTTCTGCCCCGTAAAGATTAACGCCATCAATGAACTCTTTAATTGAGTTCGGATGGGTGGATCCGGTTGTGCTTCCGCACCGCTAATCGTTGAAGAAAGTGAAATTATTGGCAGATAATTTGACCAATCAAAGAAGACAGCGGAGAGCGCGGGACGCCACCCGCGCAAGGGTAGATGGGTTTTAGAGTTCCGGGTGTGGTTGTTGACGTGACAGGACCTTGGGTTGCATTTCCAGTCTGGAAGAACTACAATCCCCAGCAGGCATTGCGCTTCAAGGCTGTCCCCTCCCCTCAACCTTAGTGCCTGAGCAGCTTGGTCAGAACTGCTGCAACTGCAGCAAGAGGTAGGGCTGAGGCGTTGGGAATTTCACACAGGCGGTCGCACAGAAAGACACACAGAGGTAGTCGTGTGCATAGCTCTTGACAGCAAATAGGTCAGTTCCACCTTTGCAAAAAACCTCCCTTCCATGATTATTTCCCCTTTTCCAAGAAATCCATCCTTAACCCAGTTGGGTTTTCCCTCCCAGCTGCATGTAGTGCGAAGACTTCTCTTTTCCTCTTCCTCTCTTTCCCGTCCTGAGGAGAAGGAGGGAGGCAGGCCAGGCCCTGTAGACAAAAAGGCCTCAGCTCAGGCTCTCCGGGGTCCCAGTCTTGGTTGCAGAGACTTTGCCTTCTGGATCCCTGCCTGGGGAGGAGGTGGGGTCGGGACTGCTGTGGAGACTCGGGGCTCCAAGAGCTTGCACCCCGTTTTCTTGGAGCCACAAACCCACCTCGTTCCCAGTCCTTCCGGGCAGTCTCGTTTTTGGCAGAGAGCAAAATTTAGTCTTACGTTTCCTAGCTGCCGACCCAGGCCTCAGTGACTTACATGAAAAGGCAGTGTAGGACATTAGCCCTGGCCAGGGACCTTGTGGAACAGGGCTAGAAAGATAGCCCCTTAAACCCATTTGGCCCCACTCTGGCTGGAGGTGTGAAAACCAGGACATGAAGGCAGGCTTTAGGGCCTTCGTTTAAAAATAATGGTGGGCAAGCCTGGTGCTACAAAATGGCTGCCGCTGCCTGGACAAACAATTCCTGGGCAGCCAGATTCTTCCTGAGAATTTTCCTTCAGGACTTAGGTTTCTGTTGTTGTTCAAAGCAGGTGTGACTAGTTAAAGGCATCTGCTGAAAGACTGGGAGAAGAAAAAGATGGCCACTCAGAATCAGACCAACTGTAATACCAAGTCACCAGCAGCCCTGGAGGAGGCCAAGGTAAGCGCCCACCCTCCAAGTCACTTGGGACCTGCCTTCTGGGATCCTAGCTTCTTGTCTCAGATGTGTTGATAGATTTGAAAAACCTGTTTTTTAAATGAGTCTCTTATCCCCGGGTGATAGGTTAGGTGCTGAATTTGTGTTGTCTCATGAACTCCTAGAAGCCCTTCAATGTAGGAATTATTTCCAGTTTACAGGAGCTAAGGTTCTGAGAGTTGAAATACCTTTTCCAGAATCATGCCACCGATAAGCAGCAGATCCAGGGTTTAAACTTAGGACCTCTGACTGCAGGTCCTTGCCTTGATCTCAAGGACAAATAACTTGGTTGAATATTTGCCTTTTGGCCAGGCTAAGAACCAAGTCTACAGCAGGAAAAAGTATGGGGTTCAAATTTTGCAATGGAGTTTAGGGGTTAGGATTGTTTCGTTTCCTCTTCCTTGGATTAGGCTATAATCCAAGGAAGAGGAAACAGACTGATATCAGGCCCTCAGAGAATACCCTCTGGGCTGGCAGCAGGAGCCCAAACCCTCCCGGCTCATGCTTTTTCACTTCCCTTCTGTACCCATTCTCTCCTGGCCCACTGTTTCCTATAGATCAGAGATTTGGGGGTCAGAGAAGCTTCCCACTTATCCTGCATAACCACTTTTAGTATTTCTTGGATTTGTTGAATTTGGAATTCATGGTATGTCAGGGCTACAAGGTTCAGAGAGGGCAAATGACTCACCCAGGTCACATAGCTTATCTCTGATATTGATAATGGTGGTAGAGGGATAAGCCTTCAGGAGGGAGGCAACATGTGGGGCTTGGTGGCAGAGCTGGCTTGGGTTGGGGGAAGGATTATCAGGGGACATTTATTGAGGGCTGGGAGCAGGTGAATGATTATGAAACAAACAAGCCAACCTGCTTCAGAGTTCTCTGTGGCCTTGCCTCTTGTGGGTGGGGTAGCAATTCTGTTTTAGTTGGCCCAATCCCCTGGTGGTTGAGGCCTGTCATTCATGATGGGTGATCCCCCTGTAGGTGAAGTAACACAACACACACACATACACACTCTTATTCAAACATACCTCCTTTCCCCTGAAATTCTCCCTAGGGTCTCAGCAACACAAATGAACAGTCCTAATTCTCCAGGGCTGCAAATACCACATCCCTCAAAACACTTCCTACACTTGTAGGGACCCATGCTCAGAATCATGTTGTGTTTTATAAAACAAGATGCCAATTGTTGTGTTTATTATTAGAAATCCCTCAAACCACAAACTTAGAGCAATTTATCCCCATCCCCCACACTCAGTACTCCCAAGCTCACCACAACAGAGATAAGCAGATGCCCTGAGCATACATATGCTCTCTTGACAGATCCTTTCCACCTCTTGCAAGTTCTGGAACTCTTGACTACAGAAAGGAGTTGACCCTTCCTTTCTTTGGTTAGGACCTCTTTCTGCCACTCACACAGAAGAGTGATATAGCCAGGCATGGTGACACACACCTATAATCCCAGCAGCTCAGGAGACCAAGGCAAAAGGATAGCAAATTCAAAGCCAGCCTCAGCAACTTATTGAGACCCTGTCTCAAAATAAAAAAGGGCTGGGGACTTGGTTCAGTAATTGAGCATCCCTGGGTTCAGTTTCTGGGACCAAAAAAACCAAAAGAGTGATACAACTCTGTCTGAGATAAACACACTCCATCTTATTTACCCTAGAAAAATAGAGTCTCATTTCCCAACATCTTTTGGATCCCTCTATCTTATAAGCTTTAAGCATTTATTTTTTTATTTTTAATTTTTTTTTAGAGAGAGAGAATTTTTTAAATATTTATTTTTTTGTTTTCGGCGGACACAACATCTTTGTTTGTATGTGGTGCTGAGGACCGAACCCGGGCCGCATGCATGCCAGGCAAGCGTGCTACCGCTGGAGCCACATCCCCAGCCCAAGCTTTAATCACTTAATAAAATTTTTTTTGTGGGGAGGGTTACTGGGGATTGAACTCAGGGGCACTCAACCACTGAGCCACATACCCAGCCCTATTATTTTATATATTATTTAGAGATAGCATTTCATTGAGTTGCTTAGCACCTCACTATTGCTGAGGCTGGCTTTGAATTCACGATCCTCCTGCTTCAGCCTCCCAAGCCACTGGGATTACAGGCGCATGCCTGGCTCATTTAATAAATATTTCTTGAGCACTTGCCCTGTTTCATGCATCAGGTAAAGCGTTGAACTGAATAGACAAGACACATTCTCAGGGGAAAGAAGACCAATGATAAATGATAACATGCTAAATGCTTTGTGGGATGTTAAGTGCATGATGTGATACAAAGTCACTGGGGAGGGGCTGCCTTTGGTATGGTGGACAGGGAAGGCCTCCCTGAGTAGGGAGCATTGGAACTGAGCTCTAAAGGATGAGAAAGAGTTGACCATGCAAAGAGCTGGAAGCAGGATTGGCTTTATGATTTGTGGGGTCCCTTGTTCAAAGGTTATTAAGGACTTCAAGACAGGGATAATAGCATCAAGCTAAGCATGGGGGGCTTTCTGAATGTGGGCCTCTGTGGAAGCACGTAGGTTGTGTTCCCACAAAGCCTTCTCCATTTGAAAGACATGCTTTTTGGAAAGAGGGAAAAGCAAGTTGGGTTTCTGATCAAGCAAGTGCCTCAGGGGCCATCTTCTATCCCAGGTTGCTCCTTCTTCTCCATTCATTCAGATAGTATATGTGGAACTCCTACTCTGGGTCAGATATTGTTCTAGGCATTGAAATGATAAGGTAATACTCAGGTAAAATGCTGCTCTTCCGGTGAGTTTACTTGGGGAAGGTTGGGGCACAGACAGTAGACAGGTAAATGATTGCAAAAGGGTGAGGGAATATAGAATGACCAGGTGAGTTGTGCGGGGCTTCAGGCTGGGTGGTCAGGGGAGGGTTCCATGGCCAAGGATAAGCTGCTTGTGATCCAACTTCCCTCCCCATTTCCTCTTTAGACCTCTGGTGATTCAGGGAGCCCCCAAACACCCACTGAGTCTCATGACTGTGGCAGTTCCCTGTCCCTGACACCACGAAAAAAGAGCCATTCAGAGGATGAAGATCTTGCCCAGGCTGCCGGTGGCCTGAGCTGGAACTGTGGCGGACCCCAAACCCAGAGCCCAGAGGGTTGCTCAGTAGAGGCAGTGCTGGGCCGGAAGAAGCACCGGAGGAGGCCATCCAAGCGCAAGCGGCACTGGAGGCCCTACCTGGAGCTGAGCTGGGCGGAGAAGCAGCAGCGTGATGAGAGGCAGAGCCAGAGGGCCTCCAGGGTCCGCGAGGAGATGTTTGCCAAAGGCCAGCCTGTGGCGCCCTACAACACCACCCAGTTTCTCATGAATGACCGAGACCCTGAGGAGCCGAACCTTGAGGTGCCACCCTATGGGGCGTCCCACCCAGGTTCCAGCGGGGACAGTGAGGCAGGGGACAGTGACGGGCAGGGCCAAGATCATGGCGAGTTCCAGCAGAGGGACTTCTCTGAGGCCTATGAGCGCTATCACACCGAGAGCCTGCAGGGCCGCAGCAAGCAGGAGCTGGTAAGAGACTACCTGGACCTGGAGCGGAGGCTCACGCAGGCAGAGGAGGAGACTCGGAGGCTGCAGCAACTGCAGGGGCGCATGGGCCAGCAGCCCTGTCGCCAGGTGGAGGAGCTGGCCGCCGAGGTAGAGAGGCTCCGCACTGAGAACCAGCGGCTTCGGCAGGAGAAGGAGATGTGGAACCAAGGGGGCAGCCGCCGCCTTGAGGAGCCAGGCACCTAGGGGTGCCCCCCAGCCAGGTGGACCTTGTCCTGATTCTCAGCCACTCAGGCCAGCTGGGTCTCAAAGAGACAGGTGGCAAGTGAAAAGCACTCTTGAAATCACTGTGCCCCCTGAGAACAGCTGAAACAGGTTCAGACTTCCACCTTGTCATTTCCACAATTGGTTCTTTGATGTCATCTTACTTTTTACAAAAAAATTAAATGGTCTTGCTGAGACCCAATGGGAGTGGCTAGGATTTATTTCACTACGGCTCTTCTGAGAATCAAAACACTTTCATCTCAAGAGCTAAGGGCACAGTGGCTGGCGCAGGCCTGTAATCCCAGTGGCTGGGGAGGCTGAGACAGGAGGAATGTGAGTACAAAGCCAGCCTTAGCAACTCAGTGAGACCCTGTCTCTAAGTAACATACAAAACAGGGCTGGGGATTTAGCTCAGTGGTCAAGTGCCCTTGAGTTCAATCCCTGATACCCACCCCGCCAAAAAAAAAAAAAACACTTCCATCTCAAAGAGGTTCCAGCCCCCTCCCCCTTTCCCCCAAGCCTGGGAGGACAGTGGACCCCTAGATAGGATCCTGTCAAGGTCTCCAGGATGCCTGAATTCTGTGTCCTGTGTCCTGGAGCTATCTCTGTGTGTTAAGGGTTTACAGGTGAGAGGGAGCTCAGGCAGGAGCCCCCAGATTCCACCCAAACCTGGTACTCCCAGATGCCATGAAGAGAAGGAGCTGGGCTTTTAGAGAAGGTCCAAGCCAAGAGTTCCTTCAGGGTTTACTCCCTGTGTTTTCTCCATAGTTTAGAGGACTTGGCCAGACAAGATCCAGGTACTTGTGCCTCCTTGTCCTTGACAGCCCCTCCTCCCAGCAGGGGGTTGGACTGAGGTTAGTCATCATGTTTTTGTCTCCTTAACTCCTGGAAAGACATTAGTAAAGAAGTAAGCACTCCAGGGAAGGATTCCCCTGTTGGGAATTAAAGGAAAGTGGCAGAGGGGACAGTGCCTTAGCAGAGCTGTTCCACCTGGTGCCCCTGGTACTTTGTGTGCATCCTGCTCCCGTCGGTCTAATCACGTGTATGGTCGGTTTCCTCTGAAGTGCAAGCCTTTTGCCTGGGCAGAGAGAATTCGGATGCCCCCAGCTTGCCAGCCATCACTGGGCTCTGAAATGATCCAGCTCCCCTCTCACTGAGACCCACCCTCCTGCAGATACCCTGTCTGTTCCATCACCCTCTGAGTGTCCTTGCTGGCTGGCACCAGGTGTCTGGCTCGCAACACAGATTAACTTCAGTGGTGTTGGGGGAAGTGAGCTCACCAGTGAGCCCATGTTTTCTCAGCCACCATCCCTGGGAGGAGTGGAGGCCAGGCCAACCCAGCTTGGCTTCCCTTATAGGTGCTCATCAAACCAGCCACACTGGGCAAGAGAAGGGCTCAGGCCTGGGAACTGCCAGGGATGGAAATGTTGACGAATCCTGTATGTTGCCAGGACAACTTTTATTTCTGCCCTGCCACACCCAGGCCTGGCCAGCACCTTCTAGCTTCTAGGACAAAGCAAGATGAAAACATTTGAGGAAGGAACAGGTTTCAGGAGAAAGCAAAATCCCATCCTAGGGCATCTGCCCCTGGAACCCTGGCCCAGGGCTTTCATCTCTGTCCCTTTGCTCCCTAGGTAGTGTCAGAACAACAGGGAACTGCAGGCTTGGTGGCACATGCCTGTAATCCAAAGATCAAGGAGACTGAGGCAGGAGGATGGCAAACTCAAAGCCAGCCTCAGCAACTTAGTAAGACCTCTCTCAAAAATCTAAAAAAAAAAAAAAAAAAAAATTGTTAAAAAAAAAAAAAAAGGCTGGGAATGTAGCTCGGTGGTTAAATGCCCCTAGATTCAATCTCTAGTATCAAAAGAGAAAGGGCAATAAGGATGATTGTCTCCATTTTGCAGATGGGAAACCCAAGACTCAGAGAGGAAGTGGCTTTCTAGACTCCAGAGAAGCCAACCAGAGGCCTGCCTTACCATAGGGTGCTAGCCTGGGACCCCAGGCCTCCAGCCTCCAGCTGCTACATTCCTCAGAACAGAGCCTGGAGCCTGAGGGAGGGGGAGGGCAGGAGGAAGATCGTTTACCCTGCAGGAGGCTGTGTTTGCTACTAGGAGGGTAGCAGATTCCAGAGGGCTGCTGGAGTGTGGGGGTGGAATGTAGGCCTCATGTGGGAGAAGGTGTTGGGGCTCTGTGGGGAGCTGGGTGGTCTGTTGGGTCCATGAGGGGGCAGCTGAGAAGTCTGGCCCTTCTTGGCCCAGGAGCTGAGGATCCTGGAGAGGGAAGACTGCCATCTTTCCCCTACACACACACACACACACAAAATGGCTGAAGGTCTCTTGGCCAGAGCAACACCAAGGTGAGTTAATTTTCACAAGGCTGGTGGGGACAGGGTGAGAAAACAAAGAGTATGTTAGCTATGATATCTCAAATAAAGCCTTGTTCGGTGTCCTTTATAAATCTGCCTCGTTTGGTCGCTGCGCGCCTTGCCTAATCTTACAGTGAGTGACGTCAAGGGGGACTGAAATGACTGAGTCAGCGAACAGTGTCCACTTCAGCCCCTGTCCCGATCTGGTCCCCTGACTTCAGGGCTTCAACCTTAAGGTGAAGGGTGTGGATGATGATCATGGGAACTCAGTACCAGGGACAGCCGGGTCACCTGTAGGTGGGGGCCAGGTGCAAGTCCCTTCTGGACTCTCCCTGTTTTCCCTTCCTGCCTATCCCACTGCAATGACCAATGCTCCAGTTTACCACAGACATTTCCTCATAAACACGCCCTCAGCTAGGGAGGGTGGGTTTGACCCCCCATCCCCAGGCCTTTGCCCAGCAAGTGCTCACTGACTTCCTTCCCTCAGCCCCTTTACTGTCTAGGATCCTCTTGATTGCTTGGGCCAGGGGCCTAGAGAGCAATTACTTCACAGGAGTGATTGCTAAAGTTTTCCACCACCACTGCCTGGCTGACCTAGGATGCCCCTTTTTTCCCCATCAGGGACTTCCCAACCCCAGGTAAAAACTCCTATGCCCAGGGGACAGCCCCTACCTGCAATGGGATTAAGGAAGAAGAGTGGTGGAGTGGACAGAGGTAGTGGAATGGGTCAGGAGGAAGCTGCCAGGAAGCAGGGAAGGGCATCTGAGGTGAAGTAACTCAGTTGTGGGGACAGTGTGGCCAGGTACCATTGCCCCTATTGGGAACAGCGAGGATGGCACTGGCCCTTTAAGTGGGGGTGCCAGTCAGTGCCCTCCCCCGCCAGCCCAATTCATGGGCACACTGAGCATGTGCAGGAGCTGTGCAAGTGGGGAGAGAGGAGGAGGTTGGGGGGGATAGATTCCGGAGGGAACTTCCCACCCCTTACTTCCTGTAGCTGCCCCCACTCTCCTTCCTGGGTCTGACAAAGGAGCCCATGGTGCTCTCCCATCCTCTTCCCCCTGGGAGTGCTGAACCACCAAGGGCGCTGGGCAGGCCCCCTTGCCCTGGGAAGTCTCCCTGCTGCCTGGAGGCCCCACGGGCTCAGCCCAATGCTAACCTCACTTCTCTGGTGTGGGCGGTGGCTGATCTTCCTGCAACTTAACGTGTTCAATTTCATTCCATTAGTGCCAGGGTTTTTAAAAGTATCCTGGGATGCCGCTCTGAAAATTAAACACGGTGGGAAGGGTGAGGTCCCTGCCCCCATGCTCCAGCAGCTTCCAGTCAGAGAGGAAGCAAGCAGCTTGGCTGCTAACACCCTTGGCCTTCCAGATTCCCTCTTCGGGCTCTCTCTCCTTCCCCTAAAGCCCAGAGGCCCCCAGTCCACGGATCAAAGGCTGCTTTGTTCCCTACAGCGGGGAACCTCCCCTTCAAACCTTTCCCCTATCTCTAGCTTGCCTGTTTCTGCAGTGTCCCCAACCCCAGACCTCAGCCCCTCAGATACCTTCCCTAGCCCCTCTTCTCCTTCCTCTTAGGTATGAGCTACAGGTGTCATCATCTCTTTAAAGTAGATGTGAAACTCATACCATGAAATTTACCCTTCAAAAGAGCAACTCAGTGGCATTTAGTACATTTGCTATGTGTGTACCCCACTTGATAACCTAGTTCTACATCAATCCAAAAGGAAACCCCAAATGCATTAAGCAGTTATTTCCCTTTCTCTCCCTTCCCCAACCTGAGCACCCACCCACCTGCTTTTTGTCCCTGTGAGTTTACTCACTCTGGGTGTATTCCAGAATATACCCAATCAAGAGGGAAAAACTCAGGGCCTATACTAGAAAACCATGGTCTCCTTGAGGTACTGTGGAGAGAACACTGGGCCAGGAGTCCTGAGACCAGTGACTCATCTGAGTTCTTCTCTGATTCAGGGTTCCCTGTGTTCATTTGTTCAAAGCAGGTCAGGGGCTTCGGGCCAGTCCAGGATTCTGGGACCCCCCAGGCTATGCTGCCTGGCATGAAAAACATTCTCCCCCTTTACCCTCCTTGCTCCTCCTGGCAGGCCCAGGCAGTGAAGGTGGCCCCAGGGGACAGTGTGATTCATACTGTGAGGTCTGGGGTCAGACCCAGGAGATGAAGAAACTTCAGCTCAGAGAGGTTGAGAAATTTGCCCAAGGCCACACAACTGCTGACCTGGGAGCCGGTTAGGTCTGATTGTAGTCTGAGCTCTTGACCACTGTACTTGGGTCTTCAAAGAGATAAAGCAAGTTAAGGGCTTAGCTAAGTGCCAACTGTGTGGGAGTTGCTCTCAAATGGAAGCAGCCATAAATTTTACTACTTTCAGGGCATTGCATAATCATGAATAGCTCATTCCAAGGTGGTTCTGGGGAGTTCTTCTCAGTCCCTCCTTCCCTTATCTTTTGAGGAGAGTTTCCTCTTTGCCTCCTTTACTGGCCTTCCTAGGGTGGCAGCTTTTTTGTGGGGCTGGACGGGGCTTCCTGGACTCTGAGGCCTTTGAGCAGGTAGGGATGGGAATCATGGTTCCCCTCCCCTTCAAAAGAGGAGGAGATGTTGCTCTGTCCCTCACCCACTTCTCCACGGTTGAACATCCACCCCAGCCCCTAAACAGAAAGTCCTTTGTGGAAACACAGAAGGGAGGGGCCTTGCCTGACAAGGGAATAGGCTGAGCAGCTGGCCCCCAGTTGGCCACTGTGTCCCAGCTGCCTGTAGCACGGACATTCCAGAGACCACCTGCTCCAGAGACCCTCTCTGGATCCCATCCAAGAAGGAATACCCCAGACCAGCCCTC